CACGTATATTTTGCCTATATAAGACATCAAATCTTCATTCTTCATTCTATTTCTTCTTCTTTTGAGGTTATGCGTTTTGGTTTATTTTTGTATGCTTCTTGTTTCTTGGTTTTAATGTGTTTTTACTATTATTGCTGTGGTTCAATTACCTATGGTTCATTTTTGAGGTTCTAATAAACGGTCGAACGATTCCCACTGTCCACACATTCCAACAAGGTAATCTATTTTCGCTACATTGGTGCTACGAGTCGAGAGGTACGATGTCGACCTCCTTATACAAGACCGCCCAACCAACAATCGAGAGGGTAATTGAACTTCTTGAAGGCATCAAAAAACTTAACACCACCGGACCGAAATCAACTGCTGGAAGAATAGAAACAGCAGTGTGAAATGAAAAAACTGATCGTCAAGGATAAAATTAAACGATTCGAAATGTAGGTTGATATATTAGAAATTCTTTTTCAATCAACCAAAGGTGGCTAGACCTCATGCAACAAACTACGACAGCAACGAAAAAAAAAAGAAGAAAAGTATGAGAACATGGTAGACGATAATCAAGGTATTTTAAGCCTAATAGTGGTAAGAAAGCAATTATCACTTTATGTTCATATCATGATGATTTTAAATTAGCTTTCTAATATGCAAAAGAGATGGCTAATAAGGAGACACCTTCACCTATCTACTATTCAACAATACACTTATCACAGTTACCACTACCAATCTTTAATGGAGATCCAAAAATGTGGCGTGAATTCTGGAATAGCTTCAATGCAACCATACATTCCAGGAAATTCCAAATATTCAAAAGCTCACTTATTTAGTTTTTTATGTTTAAAAGGAGAAGCATTAGAAGCACTAAGAGATCTCGATATAGCTCCAGAGAACTATGAATTAATAAAGCAGGTTTTAATCGACAAATTCGGAAAACCTGTTACTATAAAGAAATTATTATATAATGAATTTCATTCTATCAAACGGAACGATAAAAGATGGAAACCAATTACTGAAGCGATAGAAAGAATCCTTCGACAATTAGAAGCGATAGGTGAGAACATAGAACATTCCAGCATAGAAATAGCTATTGAGAATTGATTGCCGTCATGAATCTTAAGGTTTATCAATTAAAAGCAGAAAAAGAAACTTGTACAGTAGGCAACCTTTGACAGTTTATAATGAAACTAGTCCAGAGAAATGAAGAGGTAAATATGAGCCAAAAACTCCGTCAGGAACAAACTCAAAAAGAACATCTCACTTCAATAAGAAGGAAGAAACGTCCGCCTTATCCATAACAGAGTAATTGAAATCAACAAAGGCAAAAAAACTTTCAATCAAATAATGACTCAAAGATTAACAAGGGAAAAAAATCTTGCACTTTACCATTGAGACCACGAATGCCCCAATTACCAAATAGCTATGGCCTTTGTCTTGGACGATTGAAAACATTATTTAGATGGCATCAATATAAGAAATCTACAATACCTGGGATTTCCAGACCGTCTGTGATCCAAGTACTAACCAGGCCCAAGTCGCTTAACTTGACAGATCGGACGAGATGTCGTGCTTTCAACGTGGTATGGCACAAACATTTCAAAGCAATAATGAATACGTCAAATTTCTTCGTCTTACATTTCCTTGCCAAATTAATTTGTTGTCCCGCTAAGTAGCAGGACGTTCCAAAATTTTACTTCAAGCCACAGCAGCCGAAACTCTGGG